TTTTAGACAGAGTGTTACTATGTTGCCCTCAGTAGAGTGCTATGGCATCACAGCTCACAGCAACCTCAAACTCTTGGACTTAAGCGATTCTCTTGCCTCAGCCTCCCAAGTAGCTGGGACTACAGGCACTCACCCACAACACCTGGCTATTTTGTTGTTGTTGTTGTTGTAGTAGTTGTCATTGTGTTTAGCAGGCCCAGCAGGGTTCAAACCTGCCAGCACCCTAAACACCGAGCTACGGGCGCCAGGCCCTAGAATCCTTTCTTTCCACTTAGCTGCTGTGAGCTCTCCAGTGTCAATTTGTCCATTTGTAAATAGGTGAACTTCACCCTCAAAAGGTGGTTGTCTGGATTAAGCAAGGTGTGTGTAGGACTGTGAATGTGTGTGTGTGTGGTGCTGTCTCATGGGCCCCCAGAACCCTCCAGCACTTACCAAGAGTGATGATGCCCGTTTGGGGCCCCTTCAGGGAATAGGGCTTGTTCCTCCAGGCCCAGCCGCAGAGCAAGGAGAGTGGTATCGTTGTGGCCTGGGCTTGTCTGTGGGCTGTCGGGGCACAGTGGGGTCAGGAGTGTGGGGTGAGATCCTGGAGGGGTGGCCCCTGCTCATGGGCACCCTCTATCCCCACCTCCCATTGCAGCTGTGCAGGAGGGTTCACCAGGAGCAGACATGAGCGTAGGGATGGAGCTGCTGTGGCCTGGGGCAGCACTGCTGCTGCTGGGAGCTGCAGCAGGCTTGTGTGTGCGCTGCTCTCGCCCAGGTAAGCGGTGCTGGGTGTGTGAGGGGGAGAAGGCAGTCATGCTATATCCCTGAGACCCTCGCAGGCCAAGACCAGGCTGTGGTCAGAAGGGGCAGTTGGATAGGCCCTGTGAGGCAACCTACAAGGGCGCAGGTGGCCCCTCAACTGCTCCTGAAGACAATGGGTTTGTTTTACTGTGGGGCTTTGGTTTTGTTGGACTAAGGTGATATCTAGGGGCTGGCATTGCTCCAGACAGGGACGGAAGGCTGGGCTGCCTGCTGCCCACCTTTTCTAAGTTCTCTTTTAAAGAGGGGGAAACAAATACCCTTTCAGTATCAGGTGACCCGCCCTCAAGTCTTGCTGGAGGCCTGCAGGAAGCATGGGGAGACAAGAAGGGAGTCTCAGGTCCACCAGCTCCTGGACACTTGCTAATCCTGCCCTGTTCTTGCAGGTGCAAAGAGGTCGGAGAAAATCTATGAGCAGAGAAGTCTGTGAGTTGCCACAGTGTCCTGATGTATTCTTAAGGGCATTCCCAGCCCCCTGTCCCTCACTCTTTCACTCATGCTTCCTCCATGCCAGAGTCTGGCAGGTCCCCAGAAGTTGGGAAGGGAGACAAGGGGCCTCAAGGGGCTAAGCCCTGCCACAAACTGGGTCAGGGAGGGATCAGAGAGGGCTCAGGGAAATGGGGACACCTGGGCTGTGGGGCCAGCCAGGCTCCAGCTTGCTCAGGAACCCCTCCAGAGGTCCAGGCACTTGTGTCACCAGCCTCCCTCTGACCTCAGCCCTGCCAGTGGGGAATACAGAGATCTGGGCACAAAATGAAATGTGAGCCTTGTCCAAGGCTCCCTGGAGATGCTGAGGGAGCTCAGGAGAGGCTGTGAGAAAGACCCTGGGAGGGTTAGTGCATTGCACGCTGCAGACCAGGAGTTGGTGCTGAAGCCCAACAACAACCTTGAGCATAATGGCAGAGGTCATTGGTGCCCTTTGATTAAGAGAATGAATGATCATGTGCCCAGGAGGCCTCTGAGACCAGCTGCACATGTACATACTCCCTGGAACACACTTGTCACACATGCAGCCTGGAACTCATGTGCACCCCAGGCAGGCAGGCATGTACAAACTCACATACACACACTTCCTCATTTCCTTTTGCAACTGAAAAACCACAGTGATATTTGAAAATAGAATCTTCCCATCCCTGCCCTCCCAGGGCTGGGGCTGGACCTTTCAGGGGAGGTTTTTGTCTTTTTTTTGGCCAGTTGGCCTTCTGGACTGCCTGCCTACAACCTCCCCAGGTCCCCTATGGCCCTGCCTCCTGCCACCCTGCCCCCTCAACTCCCTCAGTCTCTGCCCACCAGGGCCCCTGATTACTCTTAGAGGCCTAGCTAGACAGGGTCAGAACTAAATGTCTCCATGTAGGAGGTGGAACATGAACCTTAGATGTTCCCCTCTCTGGAACACCATTTCCTGCCTCTCAGGAAATTGTGATTGGTCTCCATCCCTTCAGCCTACATGAAGCAAATGTTGTGTGTACCAAGAAACCAAGTCTGACTCTCTCCTGAAGATTTATGGTGTCCCTCCTAAATCAGGTCACCCAGACCCCTACTCCCCCAGGAGGTCCTCAGAGGCTGGGCCAGGTACCCATTTTAGCCCAGACGAAGAGTCAAAAAAACTGCCTTAATGATTAGCTAATCAGCTCCCTCATCTATAATGGTGGCCACTATTCTCCAGATGTCAGCTGGAGCTCTAGCCCTCATCTCTGCAGTCCAAGCAGCAAGAAGAAAGAAGAGATAAGGACAAAAAAGGTGTACTCCAATTGGCAGTACTGCTCTTTCTTATAAATATCAATAACCTAGGCTTGCATCTCATTGGCCAGAGCTAAATCCCATGGCCACACTTAATTACAAGGAAGGATAGGAAATATAGCATCTTCTAGGAATGGCAAACTCTCCCTGGAGGTAGCAGGCAGGGAGCAACTCCTTTGTCACTCCTACCTGAAATCATTTGCCACAAGTCACTGCTGGGTCCCCGAGCCTCTGCCATCAGGACGCAGAATCTCAGGGCCACTTTTCCAGCGCTGCTCGTAGAACCCCCATCGACTATCTCTGGGGGGTGGGGATTCCCCCCAGTGGGAGAGACATGGACCATTTGAGGGCATGGGGATGGGTCTGGCTGCAGTTGGGCTCTATCTAGCCCACAACCCCGTGTGAAGGGTGGGCACCCAGCAGGAAGTGTCCAGGGAACGGGGGCTCCAGGGTACCTGTGAGTCTGAGGCCTAGAGGGGCAGCTCCTCCTTGGTCTGGCCCTGGTCAGTCCCTGCTCTCTTGTTCCTCACCTGTCTGTCCATTTCTCCTCCCCTGTGTCCCCTGGGCTGTGGGAGGCCAGGCCCTGGACTTAGCACAGCCCTGTGTTCCCAGGCAGGAGACTCAGCGGAGCTTTGCAGTGGCCCAGACCTATTCCTGTGAGTCCTGGAGGGATTGGGGTGGGGAGTGTCCTGACAAGGTCCCTTCTTTCTCCACCACCCTGAGATTGTGGCCAGGCCTGATCTGGTGAGGGGAAGGGGAAAGGGGGGTGGGCTGGCAGGGCTGTCCTGGAGGCCAAGCTGATACCCTCTTGCACTTTGCAGTGGTTGGACAGCCATGGTCAGGGCCTCTGGTGAACACAATCTCTGACGTGGGATCCATGAGGTAGGAGTGAGCTCCCTGCCTTGGGCCCCAAAGGGGATCATAGACCCACAGAGAGTGATGAAAAGGAGGGCCCCAGGGTCCCTGCCTGGCTAAGCCCAGGCCAACACCTCACTCTGTCCCTGAGACTCCAGGGGCTAGAGGATGTGTGGCCTGGACCTTCAGAGCCCCTCCTCCAGTCCCTACCTACCCTCTCCCTGCAGGAAGGACAAGCTGCTGGAGTTCTCCCCCAGCCTGGAAGGTGAGCGACACTGGGCAGTAGGGGCAGGCCAGCTGAGGTGGGGCTTAGGTGTATAGATAGGATAGTTTCTGTCTAGGGGGGCCTACGAGGTTATGGGAGACCCAGAAGCGGGGCTGGGTAGGTTCATAAGATTGGCCCGGTGGGGACACACAGAGGGGACAGGGAGCACGTGCAAAGTTAGGGATGGTGGAAACACCTGAGCCTGTCCTTAGGCTTTGAGAGCCAAGGTGGGTGGGAGGCAGGGCCTGGGAGAGGAACAGTGAGCCTGGCCTTTCTTGCAGATCCTACGTTCCCCAGGTACCAGAACTTCAGCAAAGGTGGGTGGGCTCCTGGGGGAGTGGGGGGCTGCAGTAGGGGGTCCACATCTCAGGAGCTCAGGCCTAATTCTTGCCTTGCCTTGCAGGAAGCAGACACGGATTGGACGCAGCCTACATGTGAGAGGGCCTTCTCCCTGCCCTGGCCCTCCCCCTCCCCACCTGACCTCAGCTGCTTCCTGGTCTAGCAACCACTGTCGGGAGGCAGCGGCAGTGGTGCTAGAACACAGCCTCTCAGGGCCCTGTTCTGGGGCAGGGGTCGTCAGGGTGGGTAAGACTCATCTTGCATCACCCAGTCAAAGACAAACTGCAGAAATGCCCAGACCCTTAAGGGAGGTCACCTCATGGCCCAGGGGACTGGCCCGAGGTCACACAGCAAGATGGCTAGAGCACAGCTACCCTCTCCGGCCCCCAGTGGCTCAGGAGCCCAGAGAAGTGTGGGTGGGTGGATCTGAGGGGTGATGCTGACAGAGCCCCCCAGCCCTAGCCTCACTGTTCCCCTAAGAGGCCTCCACCCTGGCCTGAGGCCTGGCCCACAACCTGTGCTATGTCTGTTCTCTTGGGCAGAGACCCCACTGCTGGGGAGTACTGCAACTGGGAGCGGTTCCCAGAGGCCTCAGAAGGTGAGACTGGTGGGCTAGGAGGAAATGCATGGGAGCGTGAATGCAGGGGCCATGCTCTGGACAGGGCAGAAGGCTAGACAAGACAGAGAGCAGACAGCTGGGCCTGGGTTTGGGTTGAGGTTTGGGTGGCAAGTGGAGGGGGGCTGAGGCTGGCACTGTTGGCAGAACCAAGGAGGGCAGGGTGGTATGGGACATGTGGGTACAGGGTTGGGAGAGCGGAGTGGGTCACAGGGGTGGAATCCAGAGGGACATCTGGGAGTGGGGGGAGGCCAGGAGTATCCTGCTGGGCTGGTCCTGGCAGGGGGCAGCCTTGCTAATGAGTGCTGAGTTCTGCGGGCTGAGGATGCTGGAGCCTCAGCCTCCAAACACCTTTGCTTCATAGAAAGGGAAACAGGACTGAGGGTGGGCAGTGTCTGCTGTGAAGTACATGGGCCTGGGTCTGAGTCCAGCTCCCTCAACTGGCTCCTGCCAGGGCCATGCTGGGGCAGGTATTGGGTGGTCCTCTCCCACCATGATCACTTCTGAACTGGGGGGGCTCATTTCTTGGAGTCCCTTTGTCACAGATGGGCCATTGGGTATAGGCAGCAGCCAGAACTCATCTTCCCCAGTGCACAGAGTGATGGGGTGCCAGGCTCTGAGGGGCCACACCAGGGCCAGGTCCCTGAGCAGAGTACTCCACAGCCTGCCCACTTCATCTGGAGGAGCCCAGCCCCCTCCTAGCAGCATCTTCTGCTCCCTATTCCCCGATGGAGATGAACCTCTGAGGCTGCCACTTGCCTTCCTCCCTTCAGATGCCCCCTGTGGGCCTGAATTACAGCCCCTTTCCCTGTAGCCTCCTCCCTAGTGTATTCACATGGGACCTCCCTCAGCAGAGGAGCCTGGGAGCAGGGGGCAGGCCCAGACCTATTAGGAAGCTTATCTGGAAGGCTTAAGGCTCTGGGGGACCCTGAAGGCTGGGGCTCAGTGGACAGGTCATCTGCAAAGGGAGGGCAGGACAGAAGAGGGAGAGTGAGCTGTCCTGTGGGGCCCACCCACAACCTGTACCCTCTCCCTTCTCCCTGGCAGACAATGACGACGATGCCAATTCCTATGAGAACGTGCTCATCTGCAAGCCCAGGGCCCCAGGGCCAGGTGAGGTTGCCCTGCCCCAGGAAAGCAGGTGGGGAGAGGCAGGACTCCTCGGCCAGGCCTGCTGCCCAAAGCCCAAGGATTCTCCAATATCTCCTATCTCTGGTGCCTTTGGGTAGAGTATCACTGATGGGAAGGAGACCCCATCAGCTCCTGGTGACTCAGTGGGAGTGAGCTGAGGGCGCCCTGCACCACTGCAGCTGCCCAGCATGAGGGTGGCTTTCATGGAGGGTCAACCACAGTCCTTCCCTGGCCCTGAGGACTGGCAGGTGGCTGCCCCTCTTCCAGTCCCTGTGCTTTCCCTGCAGACACTGAGGAATCTGAGGATTATCAGAACTCAGCATCCATCCATCAGTGGCGGGAGTCCAGGAGGGCTGTGGGTATGTGGCCCTAGAGCTGGGCCTGCTGGTTGGTCTGCTTACGTAGGTTCATAGGGGCTGGCCTGGGATGGCTGGGCTGGGTGGGCTTCTATCTGCCAGTTCAGCTGATCCTGCAATGGAGCCCCCACTGTGCCAGCAGCTGCAGAGGCCTCCTAGGCCTCTCCTGTGGACTGCTCTGTGGAGTCTAGGGGTCTGAGCCCAGGGACTTGGCTGGGGGAACAGTGCAGGTATGTCTGTGTGAACCACCCAACCACCCTTCTGCCCACTGGTTAACAGAGCAAGTCTGGAGCAAAGCATCGCTCTCCCCAGGAAGCCCAGATGAGGATGGAGAACCAGATTATGTGAATGGGGATGTGGAAGCCAGAGAAGCCTAGGGAAGACCCTGAAGGAAGGTATAGCCCTCTCTTTCCTGCCACCTAGGGCCAGGGGGCGTGGGCCTCTCCATCCAAGGGGAGAGCAGAGGGTGCACCAGGGGCCACTAGGGCCAGGGGTGGCAATAGTGGGAGTTGGGACAGGGGCAGGAGTAAGATCCTGATATGCTTTGAAGGAGGTATGGACAGGTGTGGGTATAAAACCCTGGTGAGGGCTGCAAGTCTGCCTGAGTGACTTTCATTGTCATATGGAGATTGGGAGGTATTGATGAGCAAGTTTATTTATTTATTTAATTATTTAATTTATTTTTTGAAGTTTTTGGCTTTGGCATATGGGGCCGGCACCCTACCCTTTTGAGCCACAGGCACCGCCCAGTGAGCAAGTTTTATAGGCAAAGCTAGGAGTTTATTTTTGGACATGTTAAGTTTGAGATGACCGCTCAGGAGGGATAGGAAATAGGTATCAGGTAAATATTTGAGCCTGGACTCAGGAGAGGTCAGGTTCAAGACATAGCCTCGGGCCCTATCACTGCATAGAGGGTCTAAAAGGATAATGAGTTGACAGTCACCAAGGGAGGGCGGGAGAGAAAAGGACACAGCATGGACCCTGAGGTTCCCCCTAGCCAGAAGGGGGAAGCTGGAGAAGTAACAATGACAGGGCTTGAGGAGGGAATAGCACAGAGAGGTTGTGAAGACAGAGCTGAGTGCTGGTGGACATCGGTGACAAGGACAATTTTTGTGACATGGTGGGGAGAAGGCCTATGTGCAGACAGTGGTAAAGATAAATCTTCAAGAAGTTCCACTTCAGGGGCAGCACCTGTGGCTCAGTAAGTAGGACGCCGGCCCCATATACTGAGGGTGGCAGGTTCGAACCCGGCCCTGACCAAACGGCAACAACAAAAAAAATAGCTGGGCATTGTGGTGGGCACCTATAGTGCCAGCTACTCGGGAATTGCCTAAGCCCAAGAGCTGGAGGTTGCTGTGAGCTGTGAGGCCACAGCACTCTAAGGAGGGTGATAAAGTAAGACTGTCTCTAAAAAAAAAAAAGTTCCACTTCAGCCAGAAGAGGTGGCTCACACCTATAATCCCAGCACTCTAGGTGGCCAGGGCAGGTAGATCACTTGAGCTCAGGAACTGGGAGACCAGCCTGAGCAAGAGTGAAACCCCATCTCTACCAAAGATAGAAATACTAGCCAGAGATTGTGGTGGGTGCCTGCAGTCCCAGCTACTTGGGAGGCTGAGGCAAGGGGATCGCCTGAGCCCAAGAGTTTGAGGTGGTTGTGAGCTATGACACTACCCAGGGTAAGAGTGAGACTTTATCTATTTCAAAATAAATAAATAAATAAAAACAAAATAAATAAATAAAAAGAAGTTACACTTTAGAGAGAAGCAGAGGAAGCGGGGCAGGAGCTAGAAGATTGCAAAAGTTTTTAGACAGAAATATACCATGTCATGTGTTGGCAGAAAAGCTACAGTGAGTTTTGGGTAGGGCAGTGGCTGATGAGGCCTGTCTAGCCAAATGCTATCCCTGCAGAGGACGCGTGGACACTATATGGGGTGGCCCAATGGCTGGGGTCAAGTGAGGAAGGCAGTTGCCTCAGGGCCTGATGCAACTGGATGGGTCCTTCCCATGCATCAGGGAAAGGACAGATCTGGAAGGATCTGCCACAGAACTGTCTGGCCGCTCTGCAGAGGGAGTCCCTGCACTGAGGGCAGGTGGTTATGATAACCAAGCCTTGGTCAGGATCAGGATTTCTTTTTTTTTTTTTTTGAGACAGAGCCTCAAGCTGTCCCCCTGGGTAGAGTGCCGTGGCATTACAGCTCACAGCAACCTCCAACTCCTGGGCTCAAGCGAGTCTCCTGCCTCCGCCTCCCAAGTAGCTGGGACCACAGGCGCCCGCCACAACGCCCGGCTATTTTTTGGTTGCAGCCGTCATTGTTGTTTGGCGGGTCCGGGCTGGGGATTCGAACCCGCCACCTTAGGTGTACGTGGCTGACGCCTTAGCCGGTTGAGCTATAGGCGCCGAGCCAGGATCAGGATTTCAAACTCTTAAGTAGAAGAGCCTGGAATAAGGAACCCAGCTGAGGCTGCTGGGGGTGGGAATGCATTTTGCTCATGGCTGGGAGGCAAGAGGGCTGCTGAGTGCTGACCCCAAATCAGCTACTCTAAGGGGACAAGATAGAGGCCAAGGCATATTTTTACATTAAATAAACTCTTCCTTTCCATTGAAAGAGCCAAGGCAAGAAGCCTAGAGGACCACCAAGCTCATGGAACTGTTTGTCACCTCCTAAGGATCATTTTCCACAGCTGCTCAACTTTGAGGCTCCTGCCATGGCTACTCTTGGGACACCACCCCCTCCTGAGGACTATCTATGGGGGTGCAACCTGGGAAAGGACAGTTATTTGTAGAATTGCCAAAAATGCAGTCCACCACTGTCCCTGAGGCCCCAACCCAGGCTCCCTTGGGGTAGGGTGGGCTTTTGCTCTGGTGGGGTGCCTAGGATTTAGGGCAAGCTGCAGCCTTGTTCCCCATATCTCAAACATGTCCAACACTGATAGTTGTGTCCTTTGTGCTTTGGATTTGAATCCCAAGTTGCTAGGATTTTTAATGACTGATAATCTTGTACAGTTAATTTATATAGGTAGTCATATTTAATATTCTGAATTTCGGGGTAGACTTAAGCATTACAGGTACTGTGGTTAGGCAGAGCCCTGGGTCTCCCTCTGTCCCTTAGTGGAGACCTCTCCTTTCTTTAGGCCTCAGCCTGCTTGGGAAATGAGACTATATAGCCACTCTTATGACCCATCTATAGATATGCTATCTGCTGTGGACAAGTATGGAGAAGTGGCAGTCAGAGAACAGCCAAAGGCCACCCCAGCCAGGAGAGCAGCCCCCTCCTTGCCCGGAATCCTCCTCTGCCCCAGGCCCTGATCAGGCAGCAGCAAGACCATCTCAAGGGAGGAGCAGGGGCCCAGAGGGAGCTTCTGAGTTAGGGACATAATGCCCTCTCCCACTGAAAGGTCTCAATAAACCATTTTAGTTAAGGGTAGCAATTCTCCTGGGTCTGCTTTCCCCTGCTTCATGTAAAAAACTTTTTGAGGGAATGAAAGTGAAACTTCTTATTGAATAGAAAGGGACTCTGAGGTCAGAGAGTAAGGTCCTGGGTGCAGACCTTCTCCCAGGGACACGATTTCTCCCATGAGAAAGTAATACCACGTTTTAGGAAATTAGAGAAACACCTAGAGCCCAACTATTGTTACTTCACACCCTGAAGTTCTGACCTCACAAGCTCAGAGACAAGGATCTCTATTGAGCTCTGGGCTGAGCAGAGGTGTGGGCAGGTGGGGAGATGCCAGTACTAGAGACAAAACACAGGGGCAATCTTGCCTCTGCTGTCCCCAGTTGGGGGAACCAGATGGCTCTGTGGGCCCACTGTCCTTACCTGCAAATTGGGGATATAACCATTCCTTTACCTAATAGGGATTATGAAGGTCCAGGTAACAACATTGAGAAGGTATACACTACGTTTTGTGGTTTACAAGGGCTTTAATAATTTTAAATGTCTTTGCCTTAACTGAAAACTGAACCCAAAAAGCTGGTAACCCTGGAGACTTTTCTGTGTCCGTCTAGTGTCCCTGTTCAAACGTGAGATTAGTATCACTTGGGAAGGCCCACCCAACTGCTCTGTGAACAGAGACATCTGGAACCCATGAAAGGGCTGGAGTGAATGTAAAAGGATGAGACAGGGAGGGGCAGCCACAGCCCTGTGGCTCTTCTTTTAGGAGTCCACAAGACACACACGTTTTGGTCAAAGCTGTCCACATGAGACCAGCATTCACAGAAGTAGTCATCCCCACCCCCTAAAGATACCACTCTAAAACAATGCCTGGGGGTTGCTTCACCAGAACCTGAAGTAGGTGGTAGCAAGAAATAAACATGGCCCTGTGTGGATAACACTGTGCAAGTTCACCATGTCATTCTCTTTACTCTTAGAAACAACGGAAATTTTTCAAAATTAAAAAAAAAAAAACAGGAAAAAATAGTACCTTGGAAAAAAAAAAAAAGCAATTCTAGGGGCTGGGCGCAGTGGCTCATGCCTATAATCCCAGCACTCAGCACTCTGGGAGGCCAAGGTGGGTGGATTACCAGAGCTCAGGAGTTCAAGACCATCCTGAGCAAGAGTGTAACCCCATCTCTAAAAAATAGCTGGGCATTGTGGCAGGTGCCTGTAGTCCCAGCTACTTGGGAGGCTGAGGCAAGAGATTCATTTGAGCCCAAGAATTTGAGGTTACTGAGAGCTGTGATGCTACCAAGGGAGACAAAGTGAGACTGTCTCAAACAAAACAAAACAAAACAAAAAAAACAGTTCAGCGCCTGTGGCTCAAGTGGCTAAAGCACCAGCCACATACACCTAAGGTGGGGGGTTCGAATCCAGCCTAGGCCCGCCAAAAAAACAACAATGATGGCTGCAACTGAAAAATAGCCAGGCGTTGTGGCTGGTGCCTGTGGTCCCAGCTACTTGGGAGGCTGAGGCAGGAGACTTGCTTAAGCCCAGGAGTTGGAGGTTGCTGTGACCTGTGATGCCACAGCACTCTACCCAAGGGGACAGCTTGAGGCTCTGTCTCAAAAAAAAAGTAATTCTATCAATTCTACAAGTTAATATAAAACTCACTGGGAAATTCTAAAGCAATGAGTACACACAACTACATGGGAAAGGTGACATGGTAGCATTTTCTTGAGGCCATGAGTTACTGACGCCTTTACTCCATGAAGTAGCTTGGCAAGTGCTTTTAAAGGGCTCATCACCCCTGCTGTTCTGAGAAATCTATCTAAATTATCAGGAAATGATAGCAAACTCTGCCCTCGCCCCACAGGACCAGTTGCTCAGGCTTCTAGAAAAATTGAGATTATCTTGCCTAGCCTATCATCTAATAGTTGTTTCTACTTAAAGGACATGGCAGGGAGGGGGATAGGCTGAGACAAGAAGCTAGTTTTCAGCCAGGCACAGTGGCTCACGCCTGAGATCCTAGTACTCTAGGAAACTGAGCTCAGACGTTTGAGACCAGCCTGAGCAAGAATGAGACCCTGACTCTACTAAAAACAGAAAAATTAGCCAGCCATTGTGGTAGGTGCCTGTAGTCCTAGCTAATGGGGAGGCTGAGGCAGGAGGATTACCTGATCCCAAGAATTTGAGGCTGCTGTGAGCTAGGCTGACGCTACGGCACTCTATGCAGAGTGGCAAAGTGAGACTCTGTCTTTCAAAAAAAAAAAAAAGCTAGTTTTCCTGGAGGCCTCATGTGGTCACCTTATTGCCCACAAATGCTGCAAGACTTTATTAGCTAAAATGTCAACCCACAAGCACACAGATCAGCTGCCCCGCCCCTAAGCTTCTATGGGGCCTTTCTGCCCCTTCACCACTTGGACAAGTCTGAGGTTGAAGGCAAACAGTTGTGGAGTGGAGACCTGGTAGAGACAATGTGAAAGCCACGATAGTTTAAAGCGGGTACTGGTCCTGGTTGAGGTGGCATTTTTCTCTCCTGATCAGAAGGCCGTGGGGACTCCTGTACTTCAGGGAGGAAGATTCTTGTAACAGTCAGTGAAGTCTCTGCTCTAACTGGCCACCGGTGCCATTGTCTTCTGACACAGCCTGGCCAGGAGCCCTGCCATCTGCAGAAGGGAGTTCACTCCTTCTGCTACTTTCATATGAGTGTATCCAATTTCCTGAAAAACAAACCAATTTAAGTGAGGGGATTTATTTTTAAAATCTGAACTAACAGTGTGCTTAGAAGTGATACAATGAACTCAAACTCCAGCTGGAAAATAAACATTAAGATGTAACAGATCATGTTTAACTAAACTTTGATTTATTTCCTAAAAGGATACTGGTATTTCCTTGAGAGATAGCATTAAGAGGACTGACCGGAGGTGGGGGGGGAGCGCTCACACCTGTAATCCTAGCACTCTGGGAGGCTCAGGCAGGAAGACTAATTGAGGCTAGGAGTTCAAGACCACTCAGAGCAAAAGTGAGGCCCCCTCCAATGTCTATGAAAAGAAAAAAATTGAAAAATTAGTCTTAGTTACATGGGAGGCTGAGGCAGAAGGATCACTTAAGGAATTTGAGGTTGCACTGAGTTGTGATCATACCACTGTACTCTGGCTTGGGTGACAGAGTGAGATTATGCCTCAAAAAAAAAAAAAAAAAAGAAAAGAAAACTTACATTCACATTTAACTCATGTATGCAAATGATTTAGTGGCTTTATTCATAATCAGCATAATATGGAAACCCCCCCAGTCCTTCAGCTGGTGAACAGATAAGCAAACCATGATATATTTGCACAGTGGAATACTACTCAGTGGTATGAAGGACTGAACCACTGATACACACAACAATATGAACAAACCTGACAGGCATTAAGCTAAGTGGAAGAAGCCAGATTCAAAAGGCTAAATTCTGCGTGATTCCATTTATACAATATTCTGAAAAATTCTGTCCCCCAAACGGAAAACAGATCAAGGGTGTCCAGGTGGTAGGAGGAAGATGACTTCAAAGGGGCACATAAACTTTTCTGAGGTGACAACTGTCTCTTGGTTGTAGCAGTATTTACATGACTGCATGCTTTGTCAAAAGAATGTAACTAAAAGATTTTACTCTACATAAATTATACCCCAATTAATCTGACCTTAAAAACAAACGGGTACTCAGGTTGCTGACTAGCAGAAGCAGGTGAAGCAAATTCTCAGCCCTCAGGCAATCAGCTACTCTTCCTCCAGTGGCAGTTGGGAACACTTACTGAGCACCTTCTAAGTGCCAGGTCTGTGAGCAAAACAAAACCATGCCATGGCCCACATTCTTTTCTTTTGAGAGAGAGAGAGAGAGTCTCACTTTGCTGCCAAGACTAGAGTGCCATAGCATCACCCTAGCTGAAAGCAACTTTAGACTTCTGGGTTCAAGTGATCCTTCTGCCTCAGCCTTTGGAGGAGCTGGCACTATAGGCACTTGCCACCATGCCTGGCTAATTTTTCTGTTGTTGGTAGAAAACAGCCTCGCTGTTATTCAGGTTGGTCTTGAACTATTGAGCTCAAGGGGTCCTCCCACTTGAGGGGTCCTCTCAGAGTGCTAGGATTACAGGCATGAGCCACTAACCCGGGCCCCATGGCTCACATTCTTCAAGAGAGGCATTTTTATATTCTCACTGACCTTAATAAACTCCAGTTTCAAGTATTCTGCCATTTGGAAAGTTTTACACACTCGGAAAATATTGCCAATGACATCTTCTGGTGAATAGCCCAGGTGCCACAGGTGAGCAAGAATCTAGGAGGACAAAAAAAAGATACAATGAGGTTGTTTAATACTTAAAACTACAGGTCTAGCGGGAAATGAAGTCCAACCTACAATGTGTTGGCCTATCACTGCTGGGGGCAGACAGCTCATTCCAGACAACTCATGTGCTTTTGAGAATCATGGTAGCTGATGGGTCACCCCTTCAGATCATGAGGGATAATTTAACTGATTTTCCCAGCAAGCAGAGACAACTTTACAAATGTTTAAAACAGTATTGCACGATGGTCTACTATCGTGTCCAGGTAACATCTTTATCCAGAGTT